CCCAGCCACAGGTAGGCTCACCCACCCACCCCTCCTTACTGGACCCGGGCCCACGGGGCCTCCCTGCGGCTGACCCGGCCCTCTCCCTGCAGCCTGGAGCCCGAGGAGCCAGCCCCAGCCCCCAGCCCACCTGGCCCCTCAGCAGAAGGCTGCCCCGGGGAGGCGGAGGGCACAGCGCCAGAGGCCGAGGGCGAGGCGGTGCTCATGGAGGAGGACTTGGTCCAGCAGAGCCTGGACGACTACGACGCGGGGCGCTACAGCCCGCGGCTGCTCACCACCCACGAGCTGCCGCTGGACGCCCACGTGTTGGAGCCCGATGAGGACCTGCAGCGTCTGCTGCTGTCGCGGCAACAGCTCCAGGTCACAGGTGCGCGGCGGCCGGCAGGCGGGCACAGGGGGCCTGGCCCTGAGAGCCGCCCACTCCCTCCCTGCCCCGGGGCTGGGGACCACCCGGGCCGCGAGGACACCAGTGGGCCGGGAGCTCGTTGGCAGCTCTGCTCCACTCCGTTCTCCCGTGGGCGTCTCGTCCCTTGTGACTGGGGCGCTGCCAGCCCTGGCACAGCGGTGAGCTGGCCCCAGACGGTGCTGCCCGAGGCCCCGGGGCACCAAGCCCAGACTCACGGTCCCCCATCTGCCTGACCCCCGGCCTCTCCTCCTCCTCTGCAGAGGTCCCTGTCCCACATGGGATTAAACGGCCCAGGACAGGGTGGGCAGGGCAGCTGGGCCTGACCCTCTGGGTGCCTCAGTTTCCCCTTCCTCGAGGGGCAGCCGGCTAACCCCCCCGCGCTCCCCGCCGCAGGTGATGTCAGCGAGAGCGCCGAGGACATCTTCTTCCGTCGGGCCAAGGAGGGCATGGGGCAGGACGAGGCGCGGTTCAGCGTGGAGGTGCCGCTGACGGGCAAGGCCTACCTGTGGGCCGACAAGTACCGGCCGCGCAAGCCGCGCTTCTTCAACCGCGTGCACACGGGCTTCGAGTGGAACAAGTACAACCAGACGCACTACGACTTCGACAACCCGCCGCCCAAGATCGTGCAGGGCTACAAGTTCAACATCTTCTACCCCGACCTCATCGACAAGCGCGCCACGCCCGAGTACTTCCTGGAGGCCTGCGCCGACAACAGGGACTTCGCCACCCTGCGCTTCCACGCGGGGCCGCCCTACGAGGACATCGCCTTCAAGATCGTCAGCCGCGAGTGGGAGTACTCTCACCGCCACGGCTTCCGCTGCCAGTTCGCCAACGGCATCTTCCAGCTCTGGTTCCACTTCAAGCGCTACCGCTACCGGCGGTGACGGCCCCGGGGCCGCCGTCGGGGCCAGGGGCCCGGCTCCGGAGCCCGCCCGGGGCTGCTCTTCCCCTTGCTGGGCCTCGGTCTCCCCTTCTGTGAAATGAGGTTGTCACCAGGCCTGCCTCAGAGAGCCGCAGGGACAAACAGCCACGTCCTGCCCCGTGAATGGAGACCTGGTGCCGGTTGGCTGGCCCCATTTTACAGCCGGGCGGATGGAGGCCGAGTCCCGCTCCGTGGCCCTTGGCCAGCGCAGGCCGGGATCCAGACCAGAATCTCCAACGAGGCCTCAGCTGTCCAGCCCTGGACACGCCAAGAGGGAGAGGCTGGAGCTGAGGGGCTGGTGTGCCAGGGTCACCAGGGATGGAAAATCCCACGTCCAACCCCTGCAACATCCTCAGCGTTTTCTCGGCCCTTCTGCAGACAGGCTGGAGGCGGCGGTGGCTGCCACGGGGCCAGTGGGGTCGGGCACGGGCCCGAACCTGGCAGAGCCATCGAGTGCCGTGCCGAGCCCCATGGTATCAGGCCACCCTGACCCACCCCAGGAGGCGGGTGCGGGGGACACGTCACCATCCACCACTCAGGACTCCCAGTCTCTGTCTGGAACACCCAGGACTGCTGTGGGACCTTCCCCCCGCACCGAGCACAGGGACCAGGAAGGTGGGAGAGGGCTGGCGGTCAGACACCCCCATGGTAGGCACGCCCTCCCCTGCCTGGGTAAGCCCAGCAGCCCCGACTCCTCACCCATGTCACAACAGCCGTCTCCAGCCACCAAGCAGCCACTCTCCGTGTCCCCATTTCTCAGATGTGAAGGTCGCAGCTGGGCCAGAAACTGTCACCCACAGCCACAGTGCCCGTCAGAGGTGGGCTGGGCAGGCCGCCCCAGACATGAACTTGGACCTTCGCATCGTGGAGACGTACCACGGGAGAGGGCGGGGCCCTGCCAGGAGCCGAGGCCCCCGCGGCCCCTCCTGCGGCTCCCAGACCAGCGCCCACGCCCACGCGCTCCCACCCCACTGGATTCTGACGCAGAACCCAAACACCGCGTCTCATCTGGAAGTGTTCTCATTTATTTCTCTTGAGACTTCTAGGTGGAAAAAAACTCTTTATTTTCATTTAACTGGTTTACTTGCAAGATTGCATGTTTTCTAAATAAATTTTCTATTTTAGAATAATTGTAGGCCTCCAGAGGGGTTGCAGAGATTGGACAGAGTTCCCAGAGAGCCCGCACCTGGGGTCCCCCATGTCAGCGTCTCACATAACCACAGTGCATCTGTCACCACAAGAAGCCACCAGTGCCTCTGTCGGGGGTTTTAACCGTGGGCTCCCCACCCTCGCTGCCCCATGGTCATGACCCCCATCTGCCTCCCCTCCCACAAGGAGGGGGATCACGATCGTCCCCCTCTCCAGACGGGAAAACTGAAGCAAAGGTGAAACAGCTGCTCCCCGAGGGGCCAGGGCGGCCACCTGAGGACGAGCCTGTCCCCCCCTTTAGACCATGTCTGGGGACGTTTGTGGTTGTCAGAACTGGGAGGAGGTGCTACTGGCATCGAATGGGTGGAGGCCGGGGATGTTGCTCAACATACTACAGTGCACAGGATGCCCCACCCCAGAGAGCAGTCCAGCCCAAAATGTCAGCAGTGCTGAGCGGGGACCCCCATCTTAAACCACATTAAGAGAGGAGGGGGGCAACCACCCCAGGACACATAGTCTTCCTCCAGCCACCCATGACTCCGCTCTCACATATTCCTGTCCTGCTCAAAGAAACAAGGGCTCACTCCCTAGGACGCATGGATGACCTTGTGCTGAAGTCCAGGGCTTGGGAGGAGGGTGTGGCCGGCACTGCCCCACAGGCTGGAGGCACAGGCTGTGGGCACCCACACTCTACCATCACCTCAAGGCCCACACCACAGAGAAAGATCCAGCCCCAAATGTCAACAGTGCCAAGGGGGCAAGACCCCAAAGCAGGCAGAGCTAGAAGTCAGTCCCACGCTCCTCCCCAGCCACCAGTCACCTCCCAGCCCTGACTTAACGGTGCTGGGCCCTCTATGGGCCCTCTACTGGCCTCCCCATCTGTCTCATCCAGGCACCTCTGGGGCAGCTAGGGCCTCTGCTCTGCCCCACCCTACTCCACACAGGTTCCCCTGTGTGGCAGGGGACACATTCTGGACAGAGGGACTTAGGAGGACACACCTCACACCACAGAGCCTGGCCCACACTGACCAACCTGGTCCAGAGCAAGGAATGCCCAATATGGCAGCACTTAAAACCTTTCCAACCCTTTCTGAAGCCATGGCAGACATCACTAATCAATGACAGAGTGGCCAGAGTAATCAGAATCCTCAGTGCATCCTCCAGGCAGCCCTTAACAATTGATTCCCAACCTGCTCCACCTGTCACTTCGTGGGGGACAGGTCCCTGGGAGCAGGAGTGAGTATGGGGCAGACCCAAGAGGCACTTTTGAGCCTACCTCAGTGCCTGGTGGGGCCACGAGACGGGTAAGGCCCATTCTGTTCTCACAGGACATTATCAGGACCTCCCAATGGCCCTACATGGCAGTATGTCCATTTTACTGCTGGGCAGACTGAGGCTCACAATTGTAGTTGTCACATGCAGTCAGGTTGATTTCCCACTTGTAGCGACCTCGTGTAACTAAGTAGAGCTGCACCATAGGGTTTCCTAGGCTGTAATCTTTATGGAAGCAAATCGCCAGGTCTTTCTCCTGTGGAGCCGCTGGGTGAGTTTGAACTGCTGACCTTTCAGTTAGCAGCCGAGTGCTTAACCTTTGGGCCACGAAGCCTCCTTCTGGGGCTCACGGGTCCACATTTTCCAGCCTAGAATGTGGCAGCAGTGTCGGGATTGGAACCCGGGTTTCTCCAACTTGGAGAATCCCACCTCCCAGGCTACCACCCAGGTTCCAGCCGCAGTTTCCCCAAGTGCCCCTAGAAAGGTCCTCCCAGCCCCAGGGTCCTCTGTGGTCCAGGTAGAGCACTGACCCCAAGAGAGATGGCTGCTCCAGCTAGGGGAAGGAGGCAGCCTTCCTCCAACTTGCTGGGTCTGTGTTCAGCCAGGATGAACCAGCTGTTTTGATGTTGGGGATCTCCTGGTCTGGAGGGAGGCTGAGCTGGGCAGACACCCCGAGGAGTCAGGGCTGGGGCTGGGGGACCCCAGAAGGGACGGTGAAGGTTCCCTGGAGAAGCTGGGCCGAGGAGGAGGTGGGGTCACCTTGCAGCGGACGAGGAGGCACGTGTGCCCTCGGCAAGGGCACAGCAGGGCCAAATACCAGCCCAGGATCCAGACTCTCCCAGGGGCACTGGGGAGCCATGGAGGGTGAGTGAGCAGGGCAGGGCCACTGAGCTGGGTGTCAGGAGACCCCTCGGGCAGGCTGGAGGCTCAGGCTGGGAGAAGGCCAGCTGCCTCACAGTCCCCGCCCCAGCCCGAGCGAGGTGCACATGGTGTCCCGGAAGCTGCCTCCAACCCCCATCTCAGCGTCTTCCTGCCCTTGACTTTGTCAGCAGCTAAGAATAGATGCTCCCTTCCTGGCCCCACCGGAAGCTGGAGCCACGGGGGGCACATCCTCAGCCTGGCCCCTGTTCCCACCATCTGCCCTCCAGGCCGTCTCCATCCCTGAGGCTCCCGTCTGCACACGCATGAGCAGAGGGGAAACCAAGGCCAGGAGACTCCAGTCACCAGCCCCATCACCTCAAACCCCACATGTGGCTTTCAGCCCGTCATTTCCTCCTTCTGGGCCTCAATTTCCCCATTTATAAAACAGGCATCTTCACCGCCTGTGGAACGAGGATCATTGTTGATGTCAGGTGCATCGTGGCTGAAAGTAAAGAATACAAGAAAGATGTTTACCTGTGTTTTATTGACTGTGCAAAGGCATTCAACTATACGGATCGAAACAAATTACCGATAACATTGTAAAGAATGCGAATTCCAGAGCACTTAGCTGTGCTCATGCAGAACCCGTTGGAGCCCTGGTGGCTCTGTGGTTAAGAGCTCAGCTGCTAACCAGCAGTTCGAATCCACCAGCTGCTTTTGGAAACCCTATAGGGCAGTTCTACTTTGTCGTATAGAGTCTCTATGAGTCGGAATCGACTCACAGCAATGGATTAATCGTGCTCATGCAGAGCCTGTACATAGATCAAGAGGCAGTCATTTCTACAGAACAAGGGGATACCGCGTGGTTTAAAATCAGGAAAGGTGTGCGTCAGGGTTGTATCCTTTCAATATACTTATTCAGTCTGTATGCTGAGCAGATAATCTGAGAAGCTGGACTATATGAAGAAGAACGGGGCATCAGGATTGGAGGAAGGCTCATTAACAACCTGCGTTATGCAGATGACACGACCTTGCTTGCTGAAAGTGAAGAGGACTTGAAGCACTTACTAATGAAGACCAAAGACCACAGCCTTCAGTATGGATTACACCTCAACATAAAGGAGGTGGGGCCGCCTTGCAGAGGACGAGAAGCACGTGTGTCCAGGGCAGGGGACATAGCCAGGCCAAATGCTAAGTCCAGGATCCAATCTCTCCCAGGGACACTGGGGAGCCATGGAGGGCAAGCGAGCTGGGTGGGGCCCAACATAAAGAAGACAAAAATTCTCACAACTGGATCAAGAAGCAACATCATGATAAACAGATAAGATTGAAATTGTCAAGGATTTCATTTTACTTGGATCCACAATCAACGCCCATGGAAGCAGCAGTCAAGAAATCAAACGACCCATTGCACTGGGCAAATCTGCTGCAAAAGACCTCTTCAAAGTGCTAGAAAGCAAAGATGTCACCTTGAGGACTAAGGTGCGCCTGACACAAGCCATGGTGTTTTCAATCATCTCACATGCATGCAAAAGCTGGACAATGAATAAGGAAGACCGAATAATTGATGTCTTTGAATTACAGTGCTGGTGAGGAATATTGAATCTACCACGGGCCACCAGAAGAACAAACAAATCTGTCTTGGAAGAAGTGCAGCCAGAATGCACCTTAGAAGCAAGGATGGCGAAACTTCATCACACTTCCTTTAGACATGTTATCAGAAGGGACCAGTCCACAGAGAAGGACATCATGCTTGGTAGAGGGTCAGCAAAAAAAAGGAAGATGCTCATTGAGA